CGTCACGTGCAAAGTATGAATTGTTTTCAACGTTGGCCATTTCCAAATGTGACCTAATTTCAAAAGGATCAAATTCCTACAGCATGCCAATGAGTGTATATAATTTGACAGAGTAAAGAAGACTCCCATCACCCTGATTGTTGGCGGAAACTGCCACGTGTAGCACCCCTGTGCCGTCTTTTGGCTCGGTGAGATTGATGAGGTTTTCAACCCCGAGGTTCACCATCTTCTCTATCTGCCCCTTATCCCCTTCATGGACGCACTGCAGCAGACGGTAGATCTGAAGGACCTGCAGGCGGCCCTCTGCTACTGTGCCACTCATTACGGGGTCGGACAGGGGCTGCTGGAAAAAAGAAAAGAAAAAGGGAGACATAACTTCCAGACAAATACGCAGCTATACAATGACCAACGGCAGAAGCCACTTTGTAGCTATTTTTAAAGAAATAATAAACAATTAAATAAACTATTGTGTTCAGGTTTAGGCTAGGTTTTTAGTTACGTATTGTATAGCTGAAATCACTCAAGCATGTCAAATCTCAGAGCACATATGTTGTTAGCGTGTCACTTACAGTAACAACAGTCTGTGGAGCCATTATAGTGTGGAGCCATTACAGTGAGCAGCCCCCTGCTTTGCTTTGGTAAGCAGTGCATTTTCACCGGAAACAAGCAAGTCTGACCTCAATTTAACTCGACCATTGTTGACATTCGGTGACTTTCCTCTCTAAGAAGTAGTCTAGCAAATATTCAGTCAGCTAGGTCTCTCCTTAACTTTAAATCACAAAGTGAGTCTAAATGCGCATGACTCAGTCTCTTTTCACAGCTACTGACCTTTTGACCCTCTACTAACGTAAATATTACACATTTATTCAAAAAAAGACAAATGAACCTCAGAAACGCTGTAAATAAAACATTTGGCGGTATCCACACTAAAATAAAAGGCATTATAGACTATATATAGCTTCAGTAACCATCACAGCCACCTGCACACTGAGGCTGCAGGATAATGTTAATGTTAGCTAGCCACCCTGTTTCCTTGTTGGGCACGCGCTTCTTACCGTGCTGGAAAAAGTCCTTAAAAGTCCATTAAAGTCTTTGTTCCTTGTTCTTCACGTACCCAATCTACGTCTGGACTGCGAGGACAGCTACACTTACGCCGAGTTTCTCCACTTTATTTTAAAGCACAACCTCTCACTTTGTGTAAACCGGAGGAAAGAAACAAACTCAGCTCCATGGCAACGGAACGCGTGAAAATCCCGGGAAGGACGTTTAGTTCTTCGGTGTTGTCTGATGCTGCCTTCAAGTGCAGGTGATGAGCTCGGTAATGTGAATATTACAGCCCCAAATACGACTGCAGTAAGGAAAGATGTAGGCTACATTACTGTAAAGTGTATTATAGTTTTACTTATTTTAGTTTAACTACAAAACATAAATACACTTTGAAAAATTTTACTGAATAAACATAAAATAATAGGCTTACTTTACTTTACACAAGCCATGTGTTGTCCCCTAAACGTCACAGAAGTCCCACTTGTGTTGTATAATCCAGTTCAGATTCTTTCTGACAGCACTGCATTCACTTTTCTTCATTGTTCACTTGGACCCCTGTTTGTTTCACAGAGTTATTGCTGGTCTTCCACACAAAACTCCCCACATAAACACCGTGTACACTGAGTACGTCCTTTCTTATCATGCATCCTTACATCCTCAAGCAGCCTAGGTAGAGTTACCGGCTCTTTGCCCTTGACCGCCAGTGCATAGATCAATTTACATAGTTTTGTTTGCGTGAGTGACAGTGGAATGGCAGCTATTGAGTGCAGATGGGCTTATAAAGAGACATGTAATTCCCATTGATGAGTAATGAATGTGCAAAGAATGGAAGACAAGCGATACGCCTTCCTTCAATGGACTCCTTAAAGTCTTCTTCAGTAGCAGCATCAAAGCCAGGAGGGTAATGATACTGAACACAAGGTGTCACTGAAGCGCAGCATAAGAAATGGCTTCTTTTCAACTACCTCCTTGAAGTCTTCAGCTAAAATTAAGTAGGAGCCAGGAACAAAAGTCAACCCAGCTGTGTGTATTTGCAAAAGCCAAAAAAGTGACAGATTAAATAAGTGTAGTCCCAAGCAGGCTAAACAGTGTGTAAAACTGGCACATACTCACACATTTAATAAAGGAACACAATCCAGATAAAAGTGAGACTGGTGACATCAGCTGTGTAAAACTGGGTATCTGTATTTCAGGCACACAGGTGGCAAAAACATACAAAACATATACAGTACCTGGCAAGGTGAAGTGGTAACTCATAAAAATCTTATACAGGCAAAACTGCTGAACAATATTTACATTCTTTCAAGGTTATACAATGCATAGAAACATAGAAAATGACATTCCCACACTAAACACAGAGAAAACATTTAGAAAAATATGCATTGTGAACAAACCCTGATGGTATTGCTTCATGTAATAATGTAAATATAATGCAGTATGCCGCCCATTCTGCTGTACTGTCCTAGCAGAAAATGTGCAATGTTCCTTTTGAAATCCATTCAAAAATATCTACAAACTTGGTTTTTCTTCTTTAATTAGACTTCTAAAGGCAGTAAGTGTGTGTAATCATGGAAGAGGTGGGATCTGAAGCATAGACACAGCGGTATGTGTAGCTTCATTGTTTGTTATTATTAGCTCTACATGAAAAATCCAATGTAAGATAGACTGATAGTAACAGCTTCATGACTTTAAATACTTGATCCTCCACCAAGTTTAGATGGCCCTTATTAGGACTTATTAGGAGTAAAAAAAATCCCCATTCTTCCCCCTGGTTATCCTCCGCCTGCTGTGTTTCTGGGCATAGCTAATGTCCTAAAATGGTCTTATTGTTTTGCTGTTGTATGATTTATACAATCCTGTGGTTCCTCCACTGAACTGTCAGTGACTTCATTTGTGCATTTCCTTCTAAAGAATAGTGGTTTGGACTGTGTCCCCTCCGCCTACATCACTCTGCAATTTTTCCGAGACAATTGGCATTCAGTGTTACGTTTCTGGGAATTTTCTTGTGGTCAAATTGAAACTGTGAGCATGAAGAAAAGAAACTGCTTTAGAAAAATGAGGGTGCAATAATCTCTGAACATTTGATATGATGTGGGTGGATTACAAAAAAACAAACAGAAAAACCCTCCAATCTAATGCTATCATCCTACTTTCATCAACACAAGTGAGACATGAAGGTTATCACGGTGTCATCAGTAAAGAATTCAAGTTTAGAGCACAGCATGAAATATGGAATTATAACAACCTTGGAGTGGCTTTTACTGAAGAAAACATATCGAATAAAAACACAATGGCTCTTTGCTCAAATTGTTTTCTTTAAAGCTGTGAAACACAAAAACTGATTTCTTTTCTTCCTTCTTAGGACATTTAGTAAAATACAAACTATTTTCCTCCTTCCTGAATTAATCCAGTCCAGTTATTTCAGTCTCTCTGACTGTTCAGCCAGCGGCTCTGTCTCTGACAGTCAAGCAGACAAATTAGATGCTCTCATGCTGAAAGTTTCACCCAGAGAGACTAATTACAGCGAGACAACATCCAATCAGATGGTCTCGTACAGCAGCATCCCACTGAAGATGGTCAAAGGTTCAGAGGAGTAGGCCAGTTTGCCAGTGACGAGGTCGATGCAGACCGTGTCACCTGCCTCCATGGGAAGGATAATGTTGAAGACACCCAGAGCTCCAGGGATGTGTTTGGCCTCTGCCATTGGCTTCTCCAGGCCTTCAGGCTGATACCCAGCCGAGTCCACTCGGGCCACACCTGTGTTGGACTTGGACAACACGGCCTCGATCTTCATGTTCTTGTGGCCCGTAAGGATGCCGCTGAAGAAGTACTTCCCTCTCACCGGAGCTGTAAAATAACCTGGAGGAGGGAAGCAGGTAACAGGGAAAACTTAATGTTGTGTATTTGCTGTGTTATGACAAGCTACATAAGCAGCTTTCATGAACTTTTGGAGGTTATTATTATTGGGTTCACATCATTGAAATAGCCTGGTTCAGAACCAATAGGACTGGTCTTGTTGTTGATGGCTGCTTTGCTTTCCCCAGTTACAAAAACAGTTGACCAATCACAACAACAAACCAAATAAATAAATAACACTTTTGTGTACGTGAGAAAATATATTTCTTTGTCATGTGAGTGAATTTACCCTTTAATTTCAAATATACCTAATTTTCCTTGACGTAATCTTAAAGAAGTTAGGACAGTACGGATCTTAGCAGTCACCTGTTCAAATTCCAGCCGATCTAGAACTCACCTGTTCTGGGATTGTAGACTTTATTTTCATTGACAAAGACCTCATTGAACACTATGGTTCCTGCGCTCCTCATCGGGCGAGTCAGTGCAGCAGAGAAAGAAAGGCGGGGCACATGGGCATCAGACCCTGCAAGACCTGATCGCGGAGGAGAGACAGAGAGTAGGAGTTAGTATGAAACACAGATCAAAGAGCAACAAGTGCTTTGATGTGCTGTTTAGTAAGAACAACACATACCCTGTTCACCTCTGAGACCTGAGAAGCAAGATAAAAGATAAAAACAGAGTTAATCATCCAACAATGTCACTCTTGCTGTTTATTTTTCATTCTTATCACAATATATCTACAGTAGAAGAGAAGATCCAAGAAGCTTGTAAATCAGTAAATGTTTTTATATTAAACAAAGTGCAATCAAAGAACTCCAACACAAAGTTTGTTGTCTCTACCTGGGGGTCCAGCTGGTCCCTGCTTGCCCTCTTTTCCTGGAGGACCCACCCTCCCTTGGGGTCCTTCAAGACCCTGAAGTCCACGCTCGCCTCTCTCTCCGCGGGGGCCCGGGAGACCAGGTGGACCTGGTGGAGCGGAATGTTTAATGACAGCTGGGAAACACCACCCTCCTGAAAATTCTCTTTACAAGTATCTCTTAGAAGAATTCTAAAAAACATAGCAGAGTAAGCCAAGAGAGCTGAGACATTTAACCTGCCGTGACTCAGGATGTGCCCCTCAACCTCATGTTTACTAAAACTCCTCTTTCAGACAGATTGCAGACTTTATTGGCTCTGTAAGTGAGCTGTGTCTCAGGATGACAGCCTGGATTCTTTCTTTGGTCTATTTTCCCCTCACCCCGGCCTTGCCTCCCTTCTACTCAGTGCTAGCTCTCAAAAGTCAAATCCCATGCCCTCCGTCCTCTGCGACTCACCCATAAAGTCCTGCTCTATGAAACTGTGGAACTCCTTGACCAAGTCCACCACGGAGGAGTTCAGTCTGTGTATGTTGGAGTGGACTTTCTCCAGCTGGACATTCTGGATATTGTTGATAAGATCTCCTTGAGACGTTACAGTGACATTGAGTCCATTAACGCAGGTCCACAGCCCAGACACATGTCGGTTTAGGCCCTCCTTGATCCTCTCCAGGCTGTCTGAAAAAGAGTCGAAGCGGCCGCACACTCCCTCCAGCTTGGAGAGTCTTCGGTCCAGGCCGTCACTGGATCGCCGGCACTCCCCCACCTCCGTCACATAGTTGCTCCTTATTATTTGGATCTCTTTGTCCAGATTGCCAAATCGGCGCTTCGAGTCATCGACGTGCTCTGTCAGCTCCTTCTGCAAGTTGTCCACCTTGTACAGAATGTGGATACTGGTTGAGTCTCTTTTGACAAAGTTCTAGTATAAATATACTTTTTTTCCATCTTTGCTCCAATTTATTTTTACTATGGTATCTCATACACACAAAAATATGTAAGCATATTATCTAAGCCATGTCCATCAAGAAGACTCGTGTTTGTAATATGCTCAAATATTTTCCTAACTGTAATAATATTATGTGAAAACACTGTGGCCAAGATAACCAAGCGGGGTGTTTGATTGACATATTGTTGTTTTTACAGCCCATAAAGAAAAGATATTTTTCAGTATGTGCAGATTCATGAAACAACACATAGATCATCAGCGCCATTACCATCACCACTGTCATAACGGTAGCTAAGGGGCAAGCTCTACGTAATATAGTACAGTGTCTCCAAACCTGGGGCCCGTAAGATCGTAAGATATATCTGAGGGGTCGAAGGATCTTCTACAAGGAACAAGGGGAATAAATCATATTTTGTTACACAAATTAGAATTTTGTTTCTTTAGCCACGCTAGCAGCATGGCTCTCTGCATTGTGGATTTATGGTGAACCACTTTGATCCACACTGAAATAAACTACTCGATGGATTGCAATGAAATTTTGTACAGATATTTATGGTCCCCAGAGGATGAATCATACTGACTTGTGATCTCCTGAGTTTTTATCTAGAGCAACCAGCAGGTAAAAACATGATGAATTTGCACAAACTTAAAATATCCCACCCTCTGGATAAATTGTAATAACGCAAGTAAGCCTATTAAGCACCATCATCTCATCATAATACTTTGGTTTATGATCAAATATCCAAAAAACAAATGTCATTCCCCATTTAGTAGTATAGTAAGCTAAACTAAAATGGTAAATATGGTAAGCATTATACTTGTTTAGCATCAGTATGTTAGCATTGTCATTTTTGAAGTTATCATTAAGCACAAAGCATCCTAATGTCCTAATACTTGCCTAAGAAATTTCCTGGAAATAGCTACTATGTAATTATGGTATTTGGAAAGTAGAGAAATATTCTGAGATAGTTATTAAAGTTTAATTCATGCTCTCCAGGCCTTTTTAAAATGTTTTAATTTGAATTAAACAATCTGAAGAAGGGAAAAGCATTTTTGGTTGAATTGCTCACCAGACATAAGCAAATGTAAGTTGTGACGATGGTCATGATTAGACATTGCTTTTGTTTCAAGGGTCACAAAGGCCAAATATAATAAACAAAGTGTTTCAGCAATTGCAGCGTAACTGGCAGTCATATTATCGTCATCATCACAATATCATCTTACCTCAGAGACGATGCTGTCCTTGGTGTTGGTCAGATCAGTCAGCGTGTTGCCGTGTGTCTGTACAGTCCTTCCCAGGCCCTTCAGAGTGTTGTTGATTGAGTTAAACGTGACCATGACTCCAGCCAACTCTCCTTGGATGGACTTCAGATCCCCTCCTAATCTCCCACTATGGACACTATGACCGTCCAGGCGCGTCTTCAGGTCATTTATGTTGTTTTTGCACTGCCCAGTACACTCTTCGACTTCCTCTCTGAGTCGTCCAACCTCCTCCTGAAGGTTAGAGCACACCTGAGAGCAGACAGATTCTCCTGAGTCCACCTTTCTCCGCAGATCTGTTAGCTCTGCCTGGCACTTGCTGAGGCCGATCAATGTGGAGTTGGTAAACGAGCGCAAGTCTTCCTCTACACTGCTGCAAACAGAACAATCCTCAAAATCACGGCCCAACGTTTCAACCACTGTGACAATCCGGTTGAAATTCTCGCCGTTCACTCCTGTCACATCTATTATCTTTTTGATATCATCTGTTAGGTTAATCACTCTGTCAGACAGCGAGTCCCCTGACACAGACAAATCATTTAACCTGGTGTTAAACTTCTGGATCTCCTCTTGGTTGGAGACAACTCTCCACTCTAAGGTTTTCACAGTGTCATCAGTCGCACGCCCTTTTCCATTAGGACCACAAGTCTCATTGCACAAGTTTGTGGTTGACGTTAGCCTTCTGTCCAGGAAGGTTGTGATGTTCTCTAGCTGACTTAAACGTCGACTGTGGTCAGTGACTGTATCTCCGAGAACAGCCACGTCCAGCTCTATCTTCCCGATTTTGAAGCTGTTGTCATCCAGCCGACTGAGGACCATGTTGCGCAGCTGCGTGAAGTCTCTCTGGACGTTGTCCTTCATGTTGTTCCCAGTGTTAGTGCACCTCTGCTCTGCCTTTCTCACCGTGTTATTCACCCTCTTCTCCAGTTCTCTCAGTCTGTTATTCAACCTGTCCTCTGACACCCTTCCCTTTCCCCCACCTGTCCCGGCTAGCTCCTTATCCAGCCGACTTTTAATAGTGTCGCACTTGTTCGCTGTGGAGGTGACACGGACATCTACATTGGACAACCTCTTCTCCAGCTCAGTGACTGTGTTGCAGCAGACCTGGAAGCGTTCAGTGTGACTGCGGGAGATGTCTAGGCTCTGCCTCAGGTGCTGGTCCATGGAGTTGATCCGCTTCTCCAGGGCTTGGATCCGCTCCCTGTCCTCTTGCTGCTGGCGCCTCAGATCCTCCACACCAGCCTAAAAGAAACAGGGATTACAAGAAGTATGATTATTTTTTCTAGTTATACAGCTTCTTTCAACTATGTCTTCTGTTTAATGATGTCAGGTTTCTTCTGCTAAGGTTTTTGCCAGTGTTTCTGTATCAGAAATTTTGGATTTGAATGAAAAATAAAACAATACTGTACTTATGCAATGTACTTGTATAGCACACATGGATGGATTACTGAACACCTGGGCCTAAAGAGTCAGGGGGCCCCACACCAGACCTCTGTTTGAAGTTACTGGTTTTAACAATTCTCGTTTAAAAGTCAAAGAGCTCAATCTGTGTTTTTTGTCCTGGTGCTTGCCAATACTCCAAGAGAAATATTTATTTTTATAATGTTTTTCTACATAATACATAATACAACTGCACAGTGCACTGAAGAAACCTACATTAAAATGAAAGAAAATGAAATGAAATAAATGTAAACATGTTTGTGTTAAATATGCTCTGGTTTAAGACAACAAAACCTGCATTACAGTTTTTCCTTTGGTGCTTTGTATAGTATGTAAGTATTTAGTAAAATATTTGTGGAGAATAATGTCAGTGTGGATGTGATATGGTAGAAAGACAGTTTGTGCAGTATTCTTTAGTTTTATTTTTTTTAGCACAGTGTTTTATATGGGAATGCTGTTTTCTTGTATTACCGCCTGCATGTGGCAAGAATTTTATAAATCATTTAACAGAAGCCCACAGGGAGTCAAAACATGCTAAACAAACTACAACTAGAAATTACACACGGTGACATCCAAAAGTGGCTGTAACAGAGTAGAGAGTAGTGATCAGATTTTTACATATTGAGCTTCACCTGGCAGGCAGAGCAGGACAGAGACACCCTTCTCTCCAGCTCCGTCAGTATCTCCTCCTTCAGCGTGTTCAGCTGGTTTCCCCCAGTTCCTTCTCCTCCTCTGGCCACTCCATCCAGCTCATTGCCCCCTCCGTTCACCAGGTGGTTGTTGATGGTGAGCAGGGTTTGGTCGTGGACCTAAGCGAGCAGATGTAGAAATAAAGTCACACAGTGTATGCTTGCATTGACATTTAAAAGACTGTAAAAAGAAACAGATGGTGTTTACCTGTGTCCTGTTGTAGAGATGGTCCAGTTTGGTCTGGATGTTATTGATGGTTTCCTTCATGTGTGGCTGAGCTGAATCAGCAGGGACAATGGCCCCATTCAGACCAGGTCTACACAGAAGAGTTGAGATTACTTTAAGGTTTGGCTATCATTGTTTTTTTTTAAATTAGGCATGTTAAATAATATATGACAAGCTGAGGATGAAAGAATAATTGCCACATTGCTTAATTTGAAAATGTATCATGTAGGCAGGTACGTGGTGTATGGTTTACTCTAAATATATCTGTAACTGTGCACAGTTTAAGTCAGAGGACAGGTTGTAGCATTCTATTAAGTCCTTATTGAGGATTAACTATTTATATCTTCCTACCCTACCAAAGTCTCTGTATATATGTTAATAAACAAGCGAATCCTCTCTAAATAAACCGATTTGCTGAAATAAAATGCATTAAACATGAAATGCTATACAGTGTCATATGCATTCCCCAGTGTACTGGCTGACACAACAAGCAAATCTGAGTTTCCTGGATGTAAACAGGATTTTGTCCCGCAGGTCAATGCATTCCATTACATAAAACATATAAATGATGTATTGAAAACAACATTCACGCACAGCCTCTGGTTCATGTTGTGAATGGTAGTCTGCATGTTGTGGAGGTCTTTGGACAGACCACGGATGGTTTCCTCCAGCTGTCTGATCTTCTCAGTGTCACCTGGAGAAAAGAAAAGAAAATGAATAACAGCCAATGTTTCATTTTTACTGCTCAAAAAAGTATGTAACCTTTAAATTTATAGTCCTAGATGTTAAAGGCCATGAGAACACGTTCTGTCAATCGCCTTTGGATTCAATTACAAACTTTCTTAAAGACTGACAAGATACATGTGGCAAACTAGGCACATCTTGAGCGTGTTACAGTTTTGATACTATTTCAAAAAAACAAATTAAGTGTATCCTAATACCATGAACCAAAAAACATATTTTAAGCAGGTGTGATCTGGATTTCCATCTCTACCTTCTCCTCTCTGTCCGCCGCCTGTGTTGTAGCCCGTCTGCGTGACGTGGGGTCGCCCTCCATTGACCTGAGTGTCGGTGGTTACCTTCGGCCCGTTGTGGCAGTCTTCACCAGAGTAACCATGGCAACACTTCCACTCCATTTCTGTCACCATCTTGTAAGCTACCTTATACCTTGGCCTCCTGTATGTCCGGTAGCTGAGGATGAAATATACATTTCAGATACAAATGTCATCTAGAGTATTATTTTTACTAATTGTTCTGATAAGACCTGATTTTCTACACTTAAAACCGGAGACCTGACATGAGATTTAACCCTAATGACAAGGACTTATGAGTTAGTATTCTACATTTAGACTCATGACTTGATGTTTAGCCATTGTAACAACGTGCTATCTTGGCAACTATTAGATGGATTGCAATGAAACTTCAACTTCAATTGAAGATTTATTGATTCATTCTACTGGATCTTTTCATCGGGTCAGATTTTTAACATTATCCACTACATCCTTTGATTTATAACCACATTCCTGCAAAATATACCTGACATTTTGTTCATCTTCTTCTGTACTGTTTTTACAGCTAATTAGCAAATGTTGCATTCTAACCCACTAAACTGAGATGGTGAACATTTTTGCTTTGTTATTTTGAGCCTGTCAGCATGCTGATGTTAGCACTTAGAGTATGTACAGCCCAACAGAGCAGATAGTGTGGCTGTGGATTCTTACTATTGTTGATTTGGGTCACAGTCACACACTCCAGACTAACTTGAGACATGAGCAAAGTTGACCTGTGCCAGATCACAACACTGACATTTAAAATTTGTACTGTGCGGTCCCTGAACCCTTTTTTTGAATACCACCGCAGCACATTGTTGATACTAATGTGCACTGAGTCATTAGATGTCTGGAAATAGCTGCAAATCATCCACTGATGATGGATGGGATTAAAAGTGCTTTGTAAACTTTAAATGTTATTCTTGTCCCATTTTCCAGAAGACATCAACTGCATTTAGCCAGTACTAAATTTCTTCTAAAAAAACATGAATGTTTTATTTGGATAGTTCTTTTGTAGCTGTGCCATTAATTTGTCATATAGCTCTGCGACTGAAGAGAGCCCCTGTTAGAGTAACAATGCAATAAATAGACCAGGATTGGCCGGAAGTCTCTATAATGTTTTATGGCAGCAGCGTCACAGGCACATTAACAAGACCTGACTGTAAAAGTTCAGCTCGCTGCTCTCCTTTATGCAAACCCACAAACATCACTGTAGGTATCGCAGAGCCTTTTCTGTGCCATAGAAAAGATTTCATCTTCCAGCTCCCTGCTCTGAGAGCGTGAGAAAAAGGGATCCAACGTAGTCTCAGAGGGAAAACAAAAACAGGGCTTGGAGAGATGGCGGGAGGAGGAGTTAGAGAAACAGTAAGAAAGGAGGAGAGTCATGAAAAGAAAAAAAGACAGAGTAAGAAGAAGAGATTGTTTTTACAGGGCAGGAGACTAGACTGTGGTGCCTGGAACCCCTGTCGGCTTCATTCTTAGCATAGCCCAGGTTTAGGCTGAGGCCCCTGGCAGGCATGAGGATCAAGCAGCCTGGACAGGGTCAAAAAACATGGTGAAAACTTCAAAAGAGGAAAAACATCAGGAGAGCTTGATTAATGTTGCAATCTTGCAAGCATAACGTCTACATTAGGAAAAACCATGAGATAAATCACATCTATAGTAAACTTGCTCCAATATTTGTAATATTAAATATACTCAGGCCTGCAAACAGGCTTAGCTCCAGGCTTACTGGAGCTCCACCACAGTAATATGTGTGAGTTTGAGACCAGTACGTCATAATTGGGATTAATCAGCCAAATACTGAGCTGTAAGTATGTCTGTACTGATGTTCTTTCTGGCAACACACAAGCCCAGACACAACCGGACACCTTCCTTAGCAGACTCTCCAGACAGAAAATGAAAAGAGCTGAGTGTATTCAGTATCCACAGACAGGAAAGGGAAAGAACATGGATGGATACAAACGTCTGTGGAAGTCAGGACAGGAAGCTGGAGGAGCAAGACTGAATACAGATTAGATTATATTCCATCAACAAAGAGGCAGAATAAGAGGATATATGAAATACGAAAGAAAAGAGAAATACTCACGCAACTCTGGGACACTGTCCCCAGGTACAGCGCTGATAGTCTGGTTTGATGTACGTCTCCACCCCATCCTCCATCACACAGCTAACAGTGCGTGTCACCACATAAGCACACCAGTTCCTATGAAATTACACACACACGCAGGCAAGAGGAAATGACAAATGAATGACTGGCAGTTTACTGTGAGTTTAAAACAAAACATAGCAGTCTCCTACAAGCTTGGTATACACCCTGCTGCTGCTCTTTGTTTCCAAGCAAAAAGAGGAAAGATCTGGAGATATAATAATCAAAAATCTGGTCACTTGTTGACTGTGAGGTTCCAGATAAATATCTCGAACCCCTGACTGATTATTATTCTGTACAACATTCAAGATAAAATTGTCCGTTGGTGCAAATGTCAGATCAGTTCAGGATAACGGCATGATTTGAACAATGGCTTCCATTGTATGCCTCCCCAACTCCACACCAACCAACCCACACAAAGACACACATACACATAACCTCGTAGTGTCTATACTGCATATCCATGTGAAAAACCACCATTAACATTATAGTGGGAATCCAATTTCTTGCCTCTCAGATGTGTATGATTCCACATTAATCTCCAAACATTGCAGATGTTTGACAGGAAATGAAATTAAAGAATGTCTCTGGAGTCCGCCCCTGTCTTAACCCCGACTGTGCTAAGCTAGTAGAGGGATAGCAACAAGGACAACAGCAATGGTAAGAAGAAGTGGAGACAGGACAGCTTGTATAGCCTAGCTTAGCACAAAGACTAGAAGCAGGGAACGAAAGCTAGCCAGGTTCTGTCCAGAGTGAAAAATACACCTACCAGCACCTCTGAAGGAACTAAGAGATACCTTGAGCTGCTGTTTGCTGTCAGTTGTTTACTTTGGTTCTCATGCTTTGCAGTTAGCTACCTTGGCTTATGTGAACTTTTTTGCTAATGAATACCCCTATTTAAAACTCTCCTTCAACAACACTTCATTTTGATACGACGGAGGACGGATGAGAGTGCTGATGGTGCACTTTATGTCTATGTGCAGCTGGAAAACCAGCTAAAAATGGCTCAAGGAGCAAGTAGCCCATTTAACACAGCAATAAATCATTTGACTTAAGGTGACAGTCTAAGTTATGGTGAAACACTTAATGCAGGAGATTTAACTCTTACTGTAATTGAGATTTAACCACGAGTCACTGATTTTAATAGATATAATTTGCGAGTTGCTTTTTTACACCAGCACACACAGAGCAACGTTTATTATACATTTATTTGGAGCTGTGTTTCTGGCAACACTTGGCAAATGTAAGTGGAATATTCACTCCTATTTAAGTACTTTTTCTCTCTCAACCAACTCCTTGGGGAAATATCTCGCTCATAGCTGCTGGATGTTCCACTATGTTTACCAGCTAGTTGCTATGTCTGTCCCCTTTGGTGCTGGAGAGCTGATGCTGAGCCTGAAAGAGCGGTGGATGCATTACTATGAGCAACTTTTCACATTACAATTGGTCCAGTGTTGATAAAAAAATATTGATTATAGCAGCTTTAAGCTTTAAATTTTAAACTTAAGTATATTCTTAACCCTCTCAAACAACCCCTGTGAAGTGTAGGCTGTCCAACATGATTCCATACAACAAAAATGTCCTCAATAAACACGTCTTAAACTCAAACTCAAAGGGACAAAACTGCAAGAAACACACACACTCCCACATACTCCCCCAGTCTACATGCTCCTCAATTTGTCCTCATCCCTTCTGACCTCCCTCGACCCACAGATATCTCTCTTGATAACAACTGCAGTGAGATTTAAGACACAGACGTCCTTCAGTCGCTTTCTATCATCATTTTCATATTACCCAGAATCCCCATCCACTGCTATTTCCCCAGTGGTTATTATGGCCAATTAGTGTCGCTCACAGATTAATCTGAGCAGAACTATGAAGGGTTTACAGATAAAAGTTGGAGCATACAAGGAGTTCCTTCATGCTGAAGAGTCAATCAGCAGCTTTCCTCTCTCTGTCTGTCTTCATGTCTGTCAGGCAGTCTCTCTGTCTCTTTCTGTCTGTCTTTGTGTCTGTCACTCTTTCTCTACATGTCTCCCGCTGTGTAACTTATTTTATTTTCCCTTTTAGGCCCTCCTTGTCAGTTTGGATCTCTTTCTTCTCATCTCATAGTTTTTCTCACCCTTGCTGTCTCTTTCAATTCATCCCTCTCCACCTGCGTCTCTTCCTCTACATCTATGTTTAATATCTCCTTCTCCCTTCCAACTTGTTTTTTTTCCTCTCCCACTCTGTGTGACTACACCTCTCCCCTGTACCCCTGAGACCGTGATCCTCCTCTTCATTCCAGAGCTTGTCTGACTGACAGAAAGAGTTTATCATCCTCCCGTGCCCCCCATGACCTCCTGGTCCTGTTGCTACTGTACGTGGGAAAGTGAACAGGACTAATTAACTGTCAGGACTCTACTGTAAAGGTCAAAGTGTCACTTGACTTATATTTTCTCACTTTCCTCTAGCTGTGTTTACCTATATTGATAGTTTTGCTGTCAGCTTAATACAATGAATTTTGTGCTACCAGGTGAGCTAAAAACAGTGAACACTTGATAAATTTTGTTTTTTCTTATACTCAGTTCAAGTCAATTTTATGTGTGTGGCCCACTATCACATACAGTGTCACAATGGGATTTAGAAACCTATATCATATAATTTTTTTTTTTAAAAAGGTTCCAAATTAGCATAATTCTAAAGCAATTGATTAAAATTAAATGAAAAAAAAAGGTTCCCATCATGGATCTCAATAAAATGGATGCCATACTTTGTGCCTGATGATTGTTGTGTTGGAGCTGTACAGCACTGTAGGTCACTGTGTGTGATGTTTTTCTGCAAAATAAGGCATAATGTATTCTTGAAGAGTATGGATTTCAGATAGAAAAAGCTTGTGCAGACACATTTTGAAACTATTTTGTATATTCACAGTATATCATGTTGCTTTGAGCTGATTTGAAATAAATACTAATTTT